CACATGGACACGCTAACGCGGAAAGATGAACAACAGAATTTTTCTTCCATACCCTCTGTTTTTTCTTTTTTCTGCGACAACCAGCTAGCCCGCCTTGCCAACGGTAAACGCTTTTTCAATGGGAAAAGTGAATAAGAAAAGGAAAGAAAGAGAAGAGTACTGGCTGCGATAGTTAATGGAATTTATCGCGGGCTACCTTGAATTTTGATGTTCGATAAATGGAGGGTTTCTCAGAAGTAGATGGTTGAAGTTTGTAAACGTGTTCCATGTGTTTAATTGAGGATTAAATATTTTATTTCATGAACATAGATATTAGAAATTTCCGAAGAACGTGTGTGTAGGACTTTTAAATAATAAATGAAATGAGAACACAAAAATTCATGAGGAGTCTTACGAGAAAGATATGGACCGCGCTAGGATATAAGTATCATTCGTTTTACTATCCATCTTTATTTTTATTTCCGTTCTATTTTTATCTTTATTCTATTTTCATCTTTACTTTTATCTTTATCCTATTTCTATCTTTATTTTTATCCTATGATGCTATCACAAATTTTACAAATTCCTATACATGTTTCAAATTCTATCGCATTTTTTCTTCAACGATAATGCAAGGTATTTATAACCCTGCACTTGTCGGACATCTCAGAAAGGAAGCACTTCCGAACTCATATTTACGTAATATCTTTTTATCCTAAAGCTGAATCAAATACTAGTCCTCAAACCTTGTCTGTTTATACTTGAAATTTTTTGTTCAGTTATAATATTTGATCAGTCACACACTTTTATTCCTCGATAAAATAAATCTATATCAACCCGAAACGTTTCTATTAACCAACGTGAATGAACCTATAAAAATATCGCTGGAAAAAGGGCAAGGAACTTCTTGACCCGACCCAATCATTTTCCGCGAATACAATTATTGCTATTACACACATACTGTTTCAGAAGTAACTCGTTTCATGCTCGCGAACCGCGATAAACCGTAGAAGCAACATACTGCGACGCTCGTAGGCGCTTTCCCACGGTTACAGCGCGGTGCACATCGCATCTTTGTACCTATGAACTTTTGCGGAACACAGTACAGCGACGCAAAACACGGTTTACGACAGTGCGCCGTGAAACGGCCGGACGACTGCTCCGCTTTTTCTACCTCAGACACGCTTTCTCATAGCGAAACTGATGAAAGGAAGGCTAAACCGGTGGAAATGGAGCGCGAACATGGCATCGATCGATCATTGTTCGTCGATAATTCGCCGGCAAATTCGTCCTCATCCAACGTCCGAAGCGCTTCCACGAATTTATTTTCAACTTTGCGCGTAAATTTAATCTACGAGCTGATGACCCTAATGGGAAAAGATACACGTGGCGAGGAACTATGCAACGAACGGTTAACTTTTCTTGGATGTCATCTTCATTTTTCCTTTTCGTGTTTTTTTCTTTCATTTTTCGTCGCACAGAATGGACTTGCAGGAAGACAGTCTGACTAAGCAAACTACGACATAACGAGGAAAGGACAAAGTGAGATGGTGATACGCTACTTACGTAACTGCGGCAAATAACGCTAATGAGCCTACTCCAACTTCGTTCCTTTTATTCTTTTTCCAGGAGAATCGCTAACGCGAAGTTACGAAAACTATTTCAGCGGTGCGTAATTAAGGAAGAACGAAACCGACTCGTTTGCCAAAATATTAGCCCGGCGAATGAACAACCGCGACATAACCCGGAACAATACCTGCCGACCAGATTATATAACGACTGAGAATTTGCTTCGGCGCGGCGGTTTGAACATTATCATGGTACGTTAATGATCGGAAGAATCAGCAAACGTAAAAGTCACGTAACTCTATCGTGTATTAGTTAATGAAACGGTAGCTGCGGCTAATAATCTACCGCCACCGAGGAGGTATTAAGAGTACGCCTTCGAATTAATTTTATCGTTTTTGGAACGTTTATCGGACAGTCTTCGTTTTCTTCCATACGGTAGTAATTGGATAATACACTCAATTACTTTAATCGCGCAGTTACCGGTGTAGCGAGTTTTCACTTTCTATACATGAATAAGATACATATTAATACTGCTTTTTCAAATCTAGCACACGTGCGTACAACCAGCAGTTTCTAACAATAATCACGATCCAAAAGTTTTATTTTCAAGTTTATTTTCAATCTCTTTTCAATTTCGTACAAAGTTAATAGTTTTATTAACTAGCAATAGGATACAATAGAATATCCAAATAATTCTATACACGATATTGAAAAAAGTATCTTACAAAATGTGGAACAATGGAATAGATTCAAACTCGAAACTCGTAAGTATATCAGAAAATACCTATCACATGCTCAAGCTGATAAGATATCGCGGAAACGCCATTGTAAATACGTAACGTACGCATTCCCGCCATAAAAATTTCGCGGAAGTAGTTGGCGGTTTCTAAGTAGCCGCGATCGTTTCACAATACAATTGCTCGCGGCCGCGTGGCATGATTATATTAATTCGCGCAAGAACGGTTTTGTTCCTTCGCCTGATGCACGCCTTTCCTACGAAGCAACGTTTCCTCCTCGAGGTTAGTCGCAGCACGCCGCGAAATTAGCGCTGATTTTAGATCAAGACAGATAAACCTCCTAGGTTTTCTATGAATTCCTCGCGAAAAGTGACAAAAGGTACGAAAATAGAAAAAGCAAAGAGAAACAAAAAAGGGACGGATTTTTTTCAACTGTATTTGAAAGGTTAATTAAATGTCACGTATTTAACATGTATTTTGCCGCGAATTCTGTACGGTAATGGACGAACATTCTTTTGTGTAATTGAATAATTCAGCAGAGAGAAAGAGAAAGATCCTTTAATTGGAGCCGACCAGGAGAAAAACCGTGTAGAGCGTCCTAACGTTGCATTACTAATTATGTCACGAACCTATCTGACCGTAGTCAGAAATAATTGCTACACGGTCGTCAAAGAATTTAATTCCTAGTCTTATTCTGGCATAGTATATTGCGTCTCGTACCTCCGTCAGCGATTATCTCTTTGAAATTATTTCACGAAATTGAAGATTCATTCGCCCCAAAAAGCAAAAAAGAAAAAGAACGATCTCCATTGCAAATGGAAAACTTATGGCGTAAAAATTCTTCTATTCTCTCGACAAAAAATTTACGTTTCTATTCTATGAAAAACAATTTTATTTCTAAAAGATTCTAAGAGATGCTCATCGTCTCATTTATCGGTCTACATTCTCGTCGTCTATATAAAACGTCTACTTTATCAGCCATTTAACTTAACGACTCAGAAAAACTTTCAATACTAGAAGATCGAACGTGATTTCTCCGATGGTTTCACATGACGAATGTTCGTATAGTTACAAGTTACAACACACGAGAGCGTGTCGCGTTTTTCACGATTCCGTCGTTGCCGCGGCAATTTCTCAAAATCACGCGTCACGCACGGCTCGTGTTATCAATTATTCTCGTGAATCTTATCGCGGTCCATTCGAGAACAGTTTACATAGAGCCATTTTTTTCGTCGACAGTCGAAAGGCGCGCGTGACGACTCGTGGCCATTTGGTCGCGGCACGATTATCGTTCCGCGTTCCAGCCTCTCGTTGAGGCAATTCTTTTTCTCGCTCTACCCTTCCCTCTCCTTCTGTCCTACGCCCAACTGGCACGAGTCTCTTAACGAAGATAAAAGGACTGCTAACTCGAACCTCGAACACTCGAACACGCGAGCAAGCGGCCAAGCGAGCCCCGTCAAAAGGAACGCCTCGAATTTGCACGTGCTCCTCGTCATTACCTCATCGACCATGCACGCTCCCTTCGTTCCTATAGAGCAACTTCTTTTCATACAAAAGGACCACTTATTCATTCGTCCTGAATATTTTATCCTAATTTTTCAAATCTACTCTTCTTTTTCCTTTTAATCTTTCCATAACGGATAAGTTTTAGACAATGCAATTGTTTGCAAAAGTTTGGGTTACTATACAATATAACTTTGAAATTATACGATCTGCATGAATAACTATACTCTGCTCTTTATGGGAACAATTGTCATAGCCTTTATCATGAACTCGCATCGATGATTGGTCATTCAAATAATCGCGAGTAGCCTATATGCTACATTAATCACGATTTTTAAACGATTACCGAGTTGCCTTTATATCAATTATTTTCCTAGTTTATATAATTGCACCAGAATGATTATGTTATGTAAGAAATTTTTATAGTTGCTTCAGAATAATTAATTATGTGAAAATGTCGAATTACGTTTCATTATTCAATTCTCAAATTAACTACAACTTATATATTTTTATTTATAACCCTTTACTCCAATAATGATAGTAGTTTCACATTAAAGGTACTAAAAGAGCTATTTTACTAATTTTAACTTTATCCAAATAAAATTAACCAAATAAATTAATTAACTTTATTCCAAATCATATTGATATAAAAGTCACGGTCTATCGTAGCATCTAACGCCATCTTTTTTATTGCCTAATACAATACTGATATAACATATCCCTGTTCCATTCAGAATATACATCTCTAGGATCGATATGAGAAACGTATTTGTATCTCACTTGTTCCTTTCTTTTAACATAAGCGTTCGAAGCACAACGTATGTTACGTAAACAATACTTGAATAATAGATTACTCTCTAAACTTATCGCCAAACTAACCTTTCAACACACGTTCGGATATATACGAAATATATAACATACGAATGACAGGTATTTCCTCTATACAGTATCGCTCTAAAGATCAATAAAAAAAAAACCTTATTCGATCGTACCTTATTTTCGCTCATCCTGGATCACCCCGAAGCATCAAACACAACACAAAATAAATTAAAACCATTCACTACCGTACAAAAGGGAACGTATGGCACGCAAGCGAACTGTCGAAACGTATCGATGCGCGCGCACATTCGAACGATATGAATAGGTAGAACGCGCGATCTCGAGGATCAAAAATCGATATTTTGTTTTCAAACAAAAATATTGACTACATACCTGGACTGGTCTGCCAAGATAGACCACCGATGAACATTTTCCTAGAAAAAGAAAGATGATTCCATCAGCATCGGCATCAGGTTGCATCTTCTGCAGATGACGAAGGGAGACAGGGGAAACTGCCGACAGAGGGTAACTTCCGGTATCGTGACCCCCTGCGCAGTCTCCGTTTGTCGACGGCAGGTGTCACCACACATCAACCAACAACTGAACAACTCGCGGATTATTTTCTTTCTCATTGCATTAATCATAACCTCATTAAAACACGTCGTTTAATTTACAAAACATCGCATTCATTTAAAACAGAAACCAAACGATTCACGCGCGAAACACAACAAACACGTGTTCCCCTCGTACCTGGGCGCCTTCTTTGTTCTATATCGATTTATATCAATCCTACAAGCTTCGATATTCTAACAGAGTTCGTCGAACTTGTCGGCGTTACAGCGTGTTCATTCGAATCTATATTTGACTCTGGTTACTGAGAACTATACAAAAAAACTTTTGTCCCTTGTTTATGACAGTCCCAAATAGTTCTGGAAAATAAAATATTCTCTTCCCTTGCCCAAACAATGAATCAAATTCGGACTTATGTTACACAAAATCGTAATTATTAATCGATTTATAAGAAACGTTATCGTTGGTGATATTGCAAAAACATTTGTACACCAATCCGAATTGAGCGGGTTCGCAAGAATATACCAAACTCGTGGTCGTAATGCAAATACATTTTAGATATGGATAATTTAAATATACCGCGTTTAAATTAGAATAATGGAAGACGCATAGGAGGATTTCTCTTCCCCGTTATTAAGCATATAACAAATGAAACAAAAGCCATTTTATGGCACGATAAGATTTCTAATCCGGGTACGAATATTAAGAAATAAATACTACTCGGAGAATTTTGAAACCGGATACGACTACTTTTATTACTCATTCGATAATTACTCTAATCACCGTCACGTACTTCCGTAAATCGATACGCATTGTTACATGTCACAACGCCAGCAATTATCTCGATTACCACCAGCCGTCAAAACACTTCCGTTGGGACGATCTTGCTATTTTTACGATACATCGAGTATTCACGAATAAATAACAGCGTCTCATTAGGACCTTACGTCGTGCGCGAATATCATTGTAGTAAATGTGTTCTTATCAATAAACGCATCAATTACGGATAGCAATCGCGACACGAATATAAATCTTTATACAAAATAAACCTGTCTACCGTGTATTAGCGTCAAAGCCTATACCGTTTTTCTAGTAATCCACTAACGAATGGATAAGGAAATTCATGCAATTTTTTGCCTCCTATACTTCCGCGTTTGTTTCTTCTTTTTTTTTACTCTGCGTTTTAAAGAAGGCCATAGTACGAGCAACATAATGCATTGGCATTACTGGAAGGCAAAGATTATCGTGGTAAGCAGTATATCCACGAAGATAACATTCTCGCGTTGTGGACGTAATCACGTGGTGGCGCATTTGAACATCGATTTTCCGTGGCACGATATAACCTATTCCCCTCGCCCACGCATTCCTCCCTCCTTGTCGTCTGCCTCCCTCCCTGCATAACCCCCTTCAGTTCTCTCTTTAGGTCTTCGTGATACGAAGAACTGGAGTAGGCTACCGCACTATACCCCGTTGATAGGTTCAGGAGAATTAATAGGACAAACCATTGACCATATGTCGTTGGAATCGATCGCGGAAGATACACCGAGCGATGTTAGCAACCCGTCTAACTTTCCACTGGAATTGCTAAACTTTGTCACCCCCGTGAAACCATTTCAACGTACCGCGTGCTCGTTTCTCGACGTGCGGCACGTATACACACGCGACACGCGATTATGTCCATAAAAAACGAAATGTTTCGAGGAGTTTGAACAGGTAACTGATAAGCGAGTCGGTCTTTCTTTCTGTATTTATTCACGAGTCACGTGGTGAACGCGAAACACTGTGGCCTCAAAGCCGGAAAACTTTCAGCACCACGTGACACACGTTCCCTTTTAGCCCTTCAAAATACACTGGTTTGTTGCGTTTCTCCCAACACTTTTTCTCAAACGATTCACCCGTCATATTGCTACGTATTTATATTTGAGGGGAAATCATTTGTCACTGTTCTTCGATATCGAGCAGGTTTTTTTCGGAAAACAATGGTTGGCGGCAAATTCAAAGGTGTTAAATCATTTCTCTTTCCCTCCCTGTCTCACCCCTTCCTTTACGACCCCTGCTGCTTCTCCTTCCCATTCATCTAATCTTTCCCCTTCGTTCCCCTCCTTTCCTTTCATCGAGTTTGAGGGGATGTTGAACACGCTGAAAGAAGGCGCCACCGGTCCGAGGAGAGCGCCGTGGCACGCATATTCACGCGCCCGGCAAACATAAACACTATACGTTTCACGAATCCGACTGCCCGTTATCGTATAACCACGACGTCGAGACGTAACCCGCGAAAACGATAACTACGACGGCAATGACGACACAATGTCGAGGATGAATTACGGATGATAATATCGAAACGAACCGAAGCGTGTAACGAGCAACACGAGAACGAACCGTATCACGACGAACGATCCGTATCGAAACCGTATAAGAAGCATCAACATAACAAACACTCGCGCGGAGCAGGGCAACAGAAACACAAGGTAACGAGAACAACACGACGCGCGTTAAATCGTTCGGGCAACGCGCGGCATCAAAACACACTTTTGAACGTTATTACTGGTCGCTCTTTCGTTCCGTTTTCACGCACGCTCGATCTCGTTGGTGGTGGATGTAGTGGAGGTCTGTTTTGGGATCAGGATATCCTGGTTTCTCCTACCCTGGATCGTTCGGCACCTCGGCTGGCGAGCCGCTCGCAACGATTTCCTGGTTCTGGGGCTCCATAGCGACGCGCGGCGCACGGCTTGTCGTTATGACAACGCTCTCGCGTGTCCGGGGTTGCAGTGGCTATGGTAACACTAGTACCAGTGGCAATGGCAGCCGG